GAAAACCTTGAGAACTTGCTTGATGCAAATTAGACATAACACAAATCACAGCAGATTCTAAGTTAGAAGTTCAAACCTAGCAAACTTATAAGAATAAAGTTCTCAAGGCAGGATACTGGCACAAAGAGTTTGCAGACATGGTGCTCATCAGAAGAATACCATCGGCTAACTAAAACGTAAACTCTAACAGACAAACAATACATAATGCCGTGTATCCGAAGATATTAATAAGCAAATAGATAGTACAAATTTGAAACACTTACGTTTCAAGTAAGCATCAAAAAGATTCCCAGTAACTCCTTCAATGGTGTCATCAATGGGAAGAATGTGCACACGTTTCCCGTACTTGACATCAGGACATTGATGCACAGAGACAACATCACCAAGCCGAACCCTAAGGTTATTTCTGACAACCTTGTTCATTCTAATCTTTGGCTCATCACAGGTGTCATCAGCAAGGGCAATGCAGATTGTATCTTTTCTTTTCTTTCCCTATACAACAAGATACAAAGTTAAGAACTGAAAATCTTACAAATAAAACATCATCAACATTATCAGACTTCTTATATCACCATATTACAAAGAAGCTACAGAACACACCAATTTCTCAAGCTTGCGGCAGCAATTCCCAGAAAAGGTATAATCTTTAGAACTAACTATACCAACTCATCATTTACAAACAAAAAACGGAATGAAATAAAAAGGCCAATAAAGTAGATCAACAAAGGGCACCAAACACTTAACAACATTTTTCATGGTTTCTTTATGCACTACAATATCTGCGAGTGAGAAAAATAGACACAGAACAACACAAAGCTGTAGTCTTTAAGAAGAAAGAACTGGCCTTTTCATCTTATATCACAAAACATATAGTCCGTGAGCTTATTTCACTAGCAAAATTGATTTCCAGCAAACAAGGAGCAAGGGCACGAAACATATCCTATGTAGCTAAAATATCTAAAATACTCCAGTAACCATATATCATGTAAACCTGTCCCTTTGCTTTCTGCATCCTTAATCTTATAAAACTCCATACCTATGCACAAGAAGGGATAAAAGCACCATCCCTTAGTAGAAAAATTGAAGACCATTCAGAAACCAAAGAACCCCCAGTTCAAATTTCCAAGCAAATTTCCCAACCTGATTCAGAATTCTCAATTTATCCAAATTCTCCTAAACACTAGCCACAAACCCATGACAACCCTTGTTCCATAGGTGAGATTTTTACCCCTATAAGCTACCAAACTTACAAACTCCACCTACCAAAATAGAGGGAAATTCAAGAAACTTGAACAAATTATAGGTAAAAACCTGACCTTTATCAAGATTGTATCCCCTAACCTGATTTAGAATTCTCAATTTATCCATATTCTCCTAAACATTAGCCACAAACTCATTACAACCCTTGTCCCATTAGGTGAGATTTTACCCCTATGACGACAACTACAACAACAACAACAATAAACTCAGTGTAATCCCATATTCTAAATTTATCCATATTCTCCTAAACATTAGCCACAACCTCATTACTAGCCTTGTCCCATTAGGTGAGATTTTACCCCTATGACAACACCAACAACAATAAGAACAACAACAACAAAAACAAAAAATGCAACGTAATCCCAGAGGTGGGGTCTGGGGAAGGTAGTGTGTACGCATAACTTACCCCTGCCTTTAAGAAGGCCAAGAGGCTATTTCCGGTAGACACTCTGGCTAAGGAATTTTACCCCTATGAGCTACCAAAATTACAAATTGCACCCACCAAAATACAGTAAATACAAAATCATGGATAAAAATCTAACCTTTATCAAGATTGTGTCACCACGGAAAAGCTGAAGTTTTTCCATAGTCTCAGGGTGAAGAGAGACAACAGAGTTATCATCATTGACTGCCTCATCAACAACAAGGCGATTTGGTGATTTCTTCCTTTCAAGAATTGCTGTACTATAATCCCTTTTAGTCCCTTTCCTATAAACATCACACAAAAAAAAAAAACAAATCAAAAACTTTAGAAACCAAGAATCCAAATACAAGTACACCAACAAAACTCTATACAAAGATTTGATAATGGGGTACTTACGAATCAGAGGATTCAGCTTTGTTACTCATGATTTTTGAGTCCTGAGAGTTTTCAGAGGTTTTCTTTTTGTTTGGCTAATGTTTTTTCTTTTTTAAGAGATCTGCTAATTGCGAGGGGTTATATATATAGGAATATAGAATAAAACAATCCGTTTCTTGTTAGGAAAGAAATGCTTTTTTGCTTTTTTTTACTACTTTTTCTCTCTTTTTTATGTTTCCTTTTCTTTTTCCTTTACCAATTATAATTGATGTTGATTTATTTTTGGAATTATTTTCCTTGTTTTGATTTTATGTTAGAATTATTTTAATACGTTCTGAGGGAATAACCGACCAATTATATTATGCCATGTCAACATTTTGCTATCTTGGCATTCCCTTATTTGTTCACCAAACTAGTCACTCTAATAATTTAGTCTAAAAAAGAAATAGAAACGGAAAAGGGTCATATTTATCCCTGTACTCTTTAAAAATTGTTATATTTGTCTTTCGTTATACTTTTTTGATATATTTATCCTTACCATTATACTTTAGGATCATATTTGTCCATGTACTCTTCAAAGAGAGTTACATTTGTCTTTCGTCATACTTTTTGACATATTTATCGTTATACTTATACTTTAGGATCATATTTGTCCCTCATCCATTAAATCCCCATGTCCCACCTTTCTTTTCCTACATGGTGCCTATGTGGATTTCTTTTTCCTCCAATTTAAATATGGTCAACTATTAATTTAATTTAACCATAAACCATAATTTGGTTGTTTGCATTTATTTGTGTCTTTGGGCAGCCAATATATAAATATAGTGGCTTCATTCTGATAATTCACATTACTCTAATATTATTCGTCATTGTAGGTTTATGTTAAACCAGGTCGAAGATAAGGGGTGGAGCTAGAGTATTAGGTATGGTTTGAATGAACTCTATAGCTTTTGTTTAGATTTGTGTTCTATTAGGAAATACATTAAATATGTATAAATATTTAATTACGAACTTAATAACTAAAATGAGCTATGAGCAAGATCAGAACCCATAAACTTTAAATCATGACTCTGCCATCCAAAAAGTTGAATTATTTAGATATACTTTTTTAAATATGTAATTTTATTTTATTTTTGAAAAACATGAAAATTATATACCCAAATCACAAAAAAAAAACTAGATGTTTTGACCCTTGTAATCGAATTCTTTCATATAAAATGAGAGGAGGGAGCAATATTTTCTTTTCGAGAAAAAATATGTTTGAGGAAATCATCCTAGACAATATTAGGCTTCTGGCAGTGCTCTATTTTAAGCACAGACCTTTGTCATTAATTTCATTGTTGTGCAACTTCTCGTAATTTAATTTGGTTACTGCAATAATTGTAAGTTGTATCAGATTAGTGATTTTGATTTCAAAGTTCTTGTTTGCCAATATGTTGTCGCTGCTATCCGAAAAATATGGAGCTGAAAAAGAACATTATCTTAAATAGGTGACCATATTTAAATTGGAGGAAAAAGAAATCCACATAGGCACCATGTAGAAAAAGAAAGGTGGGACATGGGGATTTAATGGATGAGGGGCAAATATGATCCTAAAGTATAAGTGTAAGGATAAATATGTCAAAAAGTATGACGAAGGACAAATGTAACCCCCTTTGAAGAATATAGGGACAAATATGATCCTAAAGTATAATGGTAAGGATAAATATATCAAAAAAGTATAACGAAGGACAAATATAACCATTTTTAAAGAGCACAGGGATAAATATGACCCTTTTCCGAAATAGAAATATAGCCAAACTTAATACTCATACTAATAAATAGTTTTTCATTTACTTTTGAAGTAAACAGTCTTTAAATTTTCTTTTGTGGATGTAATATGTTAAGTAAATGAAAATTACCCGTTTGCTTGTAGTTTTGAAAGATTCATTTTTTTTTAGTTTTTCAAAAGGTGTTTATTTGAACTACTTTTTGCAAAACTAAGTTTTAAATATTTTATATACTCTTAAAATAATTTATTTCGGAAAAATTAAAACTAGTATTTGAGTTTCTGAAAAATTTTAAAATTTAGATTTTGAGAATTGTTAACAAAAAACTAATCCCTTTTTTATGCATAAACAGTTCGAACAACATATTTTATAAAAACTCAAAAACTGAATTTGCAATTTGCAAACAATAGTATCATCTCAATTAATCACCAAAGGGTTAACGTTTGGCTTTTAATAAAATAAACAATTCATAGGAATTAGAAACGTTTCCTTCAAATACAATATTCTAGAACGTTCCAACAAATTCTAGAATCTCATTTATCATAAATGGGCAAATATTGGTTGCATTTTTGCCTTTTAACGTATATGACAAAGCACCAACCGTTTGCAAGTAGATAGAAGTATGTATACCTTCAAACTCATTTTTTATCGTGGTCAGATGAGAAATTACCAAACGTCTAGCATTTTTTAACGGTGCCAATGAGAAGTTCAAATAAGAAAATGATTTCCCCAGCCATTAAAGGATAGGCTCGACGAAAGGAGGGAGGTGGGGCGGGGGAACGCAAACGCTTTGAGAAATCGAGAACTTTCTTTTATCGAAAACAAAGAAGACCGAGAATGAAATAATCTTTTTGGGTCCAACTAGTATTAATTTCTATTAGGTTCCGCATTTTTCTTTTCATACTGCCCCATCCTTATTAGTTGTCAATAGTTTTATATTGTTTTGCACATATGTAGTCTAAGAATTTAAGGCACCTTTGCTTGTTATGCGGTGCTTGGTAGATATTCCCTCGCTACTTTCAACAGTATTATCTTTTTGGAATCACATTACAAAGTCCACAACCACCAACTTTAACTATTTCCCAAGTTAGGCAGCTGAAACTCACATCCACTTCCTAATAGGTTCACAAGAAAGTAATTTAAAGAAGAAGAAAAAGACAACATCAAATAAATTAAAAAGAAACAGAGAAAAGTGCCGAGATGAAACTGCAACCCAAGAGGATGTGACGTATGCAGTCTACAAAGTCTACCCTTATACAAGCAGTGGTTGATTCCACGGCTTGAACCAGAGACCTATAAAGGCTTGAAACTTACAAAATGACAGAAGATTCATACAAATAGATGAACACCTTCACTAAATACATTAAAAGGCCTTTCTTCTACTAAGTCTACCCTTATACAAGCAGTGGTTGATTCCACGGCTTGAACCAGAGACCTATAAAGGCTTGAAACTTACAAAATGACAGAAGATTCATACAAATAGATGAACACCTTCACTAAATACATTAAAAGGCCTTTCTTCTACTAAGTCTACCCTTATACAAGCAGTGGTTGATTCCACGGCTTGAACCAGAGACCTATAAAGGCTTGAAACTTACAAAATGACAGAAGATTCATACAAATAGATGAACACCTTCACTAAATACATTAAAAGGCCTTTCTTCTACTAACTTTTTGTTCTTCCATTCATTCCCTGTGTGTTCTTCCCCCAATTGTTTCCATTTTAACAATGACTACTCTATTATAATTCATAAATCCAGATCGCCTAATTGTTCTCGCATAGCACCTGCGCCATTTCCAAGTACCAAATACATGCACAGAGAGTGTGGTCTAAGAAAAAGAACAAGGAGTTGGCTGATGACACCGTCTAAATGCAACACTTTGTGCAAAAGGAATGAGCTTATAAAACAGGAAATTGCATTTCGAAAACTAGGTGCACATTGAAAATCTGAAGCACAAAAGGAAGATTAGTAATAGTTGTTTGAGTAAGCACATCCCACTCAGCTTTTTGAAAGAATCATTTAGCAGCATCAGCAGCACCCATAGTTTGAGTTTCTCTAGCACACTGAGATACGTATGGCTTCAGCTGCAAACAAACATAACAAAGATAATTAACATGAGCACAAGCTATCGACATCACGAATAACTCTAATCCCAGTGTAAGGGGACGTAAACAGTAATAATTGATACGCCTCATAATCTCCTTTGAGAAACAATCTTAGTATCTTTCTCTTTTTTATCTTTTTTCTTTTTTCGTTTTTGAGCAGTAAGATATTAAGAAAAAGCTTCAATGTCTTAGTCATCCTTGAAGTGGAGCCTTGGCGTACCTGGTAAAGTTGCGGCCATGTGACCAAGAGATCACGGGTTCGAGCCGTGGAAACAACCTTTGTGGTCCTACGTACCATAGACCTTTGTGGTCCTACCCTTCCCCAAATCCCGCGCATAGCGGGAATCTAGTGCACCAAGCTGCCCTTTTAAGACATTGAGAAACAATCTTAGTTAAAGTTACTCTTCAAAATTTGGTCACCACCTCCATAATAACAAAGACGACCTCCAAAAATGTTGTTTGCTCATCTATATCCTGTACAACTTGTTTGGATAAAACAGATGTGCTATACGTCTTAAAGCATATCTTAACTCACCGAATATTATTAGGCATAGCCACCAAATTAAACTTGCCAGAGATTAAACAAGCAAAAAGGAAAAACAGCAAAACTTAATTTACAAATCCAACTTAACAATCCAAAACAAACCACAATGTTAAAAAGTGCAGCACCATACCCATCATAAGCGATTCATACCTCAAAAATCTCCTCAACCACTACCACTACGCATAGCAGTCAATTCAATTTTTTAATTAAGTTGAAAGTCCTTTTGAATAAAATTTTCTCATGATCGACAAACAACCTCTGAACGCTTAACTAGATGTCAATTGGCTGTTAACACGAAAGCGAACCAAATGTTCTTTTCCTCTTTTCTCTCCAAATCCTCCAAAATATACTCAAAGGCTTGACTTCCATGGGGAAGTGCCAGGGAGAATATGACCATCAGAGGAGAGTGAAAGTGCACTCAACGAGCTTATATGGCGGTAGTAGAAAGAATCTGGCACCAGACTGGACTCGCTAATGCAGTGTGACTCAAGCCCAGCAAGACGCGACCTATCGAAGATTTCACGCATCTGAAAACACCAGGAAGAGAGGCAGAATTTCCGGTGACTAATTTACACATGCCAGATCTTACACCTGGGTAAAAGCATTCAAGGGATCGATTCCCCTAGACTTCATCCATCTTGGTGCCACTCGACTCCGATGAGGCGATGACTGTAAAATGAGCAGATTCTCAAAAAAGCGATGGCTAGTGAGAAAGGCGCACACTCCGTTTTAGAATTAAGGAAGTTGTGCCCATGTCTTTCAAAGAAGTTCTTGCCTGGCCAGGAGCTGGAATGGACGCCAGAGACTCTACGCTGGCAAAGAACCTTCTTTCACACTCTCAATCCAAGACGGTCAAAAGAGGAAGAATTTCCCGAAAACTTGTTTGTAGGAAGCTTTAGGATTTTAGGTATCTTCTACACTCTCTCCAAGAGACTGACTCTAGATGAATAGGAATTGGCGTCTCATATTCTTTGTTCACAACTCCACCTATATGCTTGGGCATGTCTAATTAAAAGATCAAATACCAATACATCACTATCGCATTTCTCTAAGCCCCCAACCACATAGAGAGAAGAATAGTTCACAGATTTATTCTATTATTTTGAACTGTCAAAAATAAAAATGAAACAAGCGAAACCAACTCAAACTCGGACTATTTGCCTCTCTTTTAGCTCGTAACAAGCATATTGTGATCTCTTTTATCATTTTATTTTCTGATCCAAGAGAAACTTCAAGTCGGGAAATTAGCATTACTTCTGCCAATGCCAACATTAAGAGCACAAAAGAACAGTGGGCCAAAGGGCAATCGATTCCTTCTTAACTGAATGAAATCGCCTATATGCCATTCCATACTTAACAGGCTATTAGAGTTTCCACATCTTTTTTCTTTTTTCTTTTGGAACTTTCTGTTTTTAATCCAAAAAAGATAGCTAAAAACACAACTTTTTAAAAAAAAATTTAAAACTTCAGTACCTGAAAATCCCTCAAATTTGGAACTACATAATTTGGTAGTTTTCCTTGCACAAGAACATAACCACCTGCAGAAAGAGAAGTCCGCAAATTTCATAAACATCCAAATTTAGAACTTTAAAGCAAAAAAATATTAACGAAGGCAACTAAGCAAGCAAAATGATTTGGAAGAAAAATTTTCTAGTTACCAGCATTAATAAGGACTCACTAAACCAATTAATCAAAATCAAGAGTTTTATAGCTCAGTCAATGTAACAACCTAGTCCACTAGTGATATTGTCCGCTTTGGCCCAGCCTGCACGGCTTTAAAGTACGTTATTAGGGTCTACGGCTTGTTTACTTATATATCCAACCTACACCCTCTCTTAGGGACTCAACGTCCTAGCTGATGTTTGCCCCACCATCGTTCAAGGTTGCGCGTGGGGTGACTTTGATACCATATGTAACTGACCAGCCCACTAGTGATAGCTTTAAAACGCGTCACTAGGGTCTAAGGTTGTTTACTTATATACCCAGCATCTTTTCCGTGATTTGTCACATTCAATCAATCAAACTAGGGTATCCCTGCTGCTCTATTGTGATCCATTTCATTTCAATACCAAATAACTGTAAGCTCACATATCCCGTTCCAAGCCCAAACAAAGATCAAATATTAAAATAATCATAACATGAGAAATCCTCTCTAATAGCTCAGCAATAATCATAAATCAGCGGCCCTATAGCTCCCCTAAATCAATATAAAGGACAAAAGGGGTACTAAATCCAATCAAAAAGACTCAACATTTATAAGCTCAATTCCAATAACACTAAAGTGCTAGTCTCAAACGCTAAAAAGTTAGTATAAACCCAAAAAATAGGTGTCAAAAGAATACCTTTACGAGTATGAAAACCAGTGGGCTTGCAATTCTTTCCTTTATAGAAATTTCTTGGACCTGTTTTAGCAGTTAGAATGTCAAGAGACGCTGTGCTCTTCTTTCTGAAAGCTCTCCCTATACCCAGTAGCAAACCCAGTGCCATTTTCTCCCCTTTTCAACTTCAAGATGAAAATGTACGACAAAAATGAATGAATGGGATTTTAGAAGATTTATTTAGGACACAAAAGAGTGAAAAATTATAAGTATAATCTGCGTTTTGTAGGGGGTTTTAGGCGATTCCAAAGGGTTTTGGCTTCTCTTTTAGCTAAAAAAATGTCAACTGCATCAGAAGAAAATTGTATGTCACTAGTGCCCCCAACATGTTTTCATTTTTCACTTGTACCCCTGTAGTTTTTACTTTTTGGTTTACCCCTTGGTGTCCTGTACCCGTTTTTGGGTCGGAATACACCGTATCTCGCCGAAAAAATCTACTTCGAGGGCAAAGCCCCTTCATATCAAAGACACTTTCATTCTCAATGCCCGAGTCCGAGACTTCACTATAATCTTTGGTGGTGTAGTTTTGTATAGGATAAAATATGTTATGTCATGTGGCAGTCCAAAAGAGGAATATGTGGAACTCAAGACGGGAGATGTCCAAGATCGAAGGTAACTGTTCTGTCAGTCACCGGGAAGAATAACACTTATAAAGATGTAATAAATACTTTTTGTTCGGTAGCATTTAATAGAGAATATTTCATGGTATTAAGTACGATTGCCCGTTACAAGAAATTTGATATTTATGCTCAACATTACATCTTCATCAATTGCCCTCATAATTGACATTAAAGATTGGGCATGATCCTAGGACCTCCTTCCCTAGAGGTAGTTATAAATAATTAGCTCAGTTTCATTGTAAGGGACAAGAATTTTCTAGCAAATTGACGTTACACTCTATTCAAAGTTTAATACAATATTATCCTCTGGCTTTTGATTTCACTGTTGTTGTGCCTGAAATCCAGAACTACTATTTCTGCTATTTTGTCTCCATCCCAGGGCTAAGTATTGCATATTTCTTCAACTATTTTATTATTTCAGGATTAAATTAATTCACTTGTTTAGAAAATCACGTATAAATTCAATTGTACCGTTTAACGGGTAAACTATTTGGCGCCCATTGTAGGGCCTAGACAGCCGTTCACTTAAATTGATCCTTGCTTTTTTTACTAACGCGTTTGATTATTTTGTCTTAGAAAAATCATAAAAAAATGGTAGATAACGGTGTTAACAACACGCACAATCTCAAGGTTCGAGGAGATCGGCCTCATTGCGAGGATTCAATCAGTGACACCCACAACGAGTGGAATGACGCCACGCTGGTGATTGACAGGAAATATCTTCAACATATTCGATAGACAACTCCCGATGATGTTGAGGAGGAACATGTCGTTGAAGAGATAAGAGTCTTGCAAGAACAACATGCGATCATTCTAGGACACCTTATGTGTCACGATAAGGTTATGATGAAGTTGAAGCACGCGCTGTCGGGGCTTTGAATAATGCGAATAGACGAGATCGGATTCTTTCTGGTGCTCCCACGAATCAAACAACACAGAGGGTCGACGACAACACCTTGAGGGGTAAAGTTGGCTCCGATAGGGCTGGGGGAGTGGATCCGGCCTCAATAACGAGAATGATCCTTTCAAGAATGAACTTTTAAGGTTTATGAGGGAAGTGAATGCCCACATGGACCAAATCTCGAATGCACCACCGGTGCTGAAAGGTCCAGACTCAAAGAAGTATACTCAATTGCCATACAAGCTAATTGCGGCACCAGAATTACTCCCGAAGCAGTTTAAAATGCCTTATGTGCCAAAGTATGACGGAACTTCAGACCCTCAAGATCATATTACCACCTACACAACGGGAAATAATTTAGCTCCTCACAAAATTAAATTTGTTTTGCTGAAGAAATTTGGAGAGACTCTCACGAGGGGAGCCTTGACGTGGTATTCATTGTTAGATGAGCATTCCATAAACTCCTTTGAGAAGCTCGTGGACTCTTTCATCAAGGCTCATGTCGGGTCCAGAAAAGTACTGACCCAAAAGGCCGACATATTCAGGATTGCGCAAGGAGAATTCGAGTTGCTACGGGAGTTGTTACCCGATTCCAGAAGGAGATAATGTTGCTCCCGGTTGTCCCGGATAAATGGGTGGCTGAAGCATTCACCAATGGACTAAATTTGAGAAGTTCAGATGCTTCCCAAAAATTGAAGGAAATCCTGCTTGAATTTCAAGCGACGACTTTAGCGAATGTCCACAATCAATATGAATCAAAGATAAGGATCGAAGATGATCAGGTTGGCTTTCCATCGTTGACAAAAGGATGAGAAAAGAACAAAGAAAAATCAAAAGACAATTACGACACGGACAGACGGGCTTTGAGAGGCTAGTTTCTACCCTACAAATGGACCGAAGGCCGTGGCAGAGGCTTCCAGACAGCAAACAAGTTCGTCGTTGACAGAATGACTGATCGCGGTCGGAACAATATATCACTGCAGGATAAAGAAGCGTCAGGGTCACGGGATCCTTCTTACCTCAAGCTATCGGAATACAACTTCAACGTCAGTGTAGTGCAGTTGGTGTCAGCCATGAGAAACATCAAAGAAGCACGGTTCCCGAAAGTAATGAGATCTGATCCCAGCTATAGGGATCCCAACTTATGGTATGAATATCACGGGATGAATGGCCACCAGACATGGGATTGTCGACACCTTCGGGAAGAAGTGGCAACATTATTAAAGAACGATCGTCTCAGAGAATTCTTGAGTGACCAAGCTTAGAACAATTATGGTCATAACTGGGACACTGTGGAACCGTCGAAAGCAGGAGAAGATCCCCCGTGCCAAATGATCAACATGATCTTCAGAAGGAACGAGATCAAGGTGGTCACTTTTCGGCAGCAAAGAAGATAAAAGTATGAATAACCCATAGCAAAATGCTCCTAGAAGACGATATCACTTTTACAGAGGAGGACGCATACAGATTGTTGCTACTATACAACGACGCACTGGTAATTTCTTTAAATGTGCTAGATTTTAAGATTAAACGTGTTTTAGTGGATCCAGGAAGTTTGGCTAATATAATACAATGGAGAGTATTGGAGCAAGTTAAACTCACCAGAAGCATTATTCCGGCCACAAAGCTCCTCGTCGAATTCAACCTCGCGAGCGTGATTACCCAAGGAGAAATTTTATTACCCACAAACGCTGAAGGAGTGATGAAAACAACTCTCTTCGAAGTGGTAGACGGTGATATTGGATATAACATCATTCTAGGAAGGCCATGGTTACACGAGATGAAAGTTGTACCATTAACATATCATCAATTGCTGAAGTTTCCAATGCCCAAAGGAGCTAAGTAGATAAGGGTGACCAACCGGTGGCAAGGGAGATAAATGCAATTTAGGTCTCCAATATCAAAGGAAAGGAACACGCAGCATAGCAATTACAGGAACCGACGCCTACTCCTGAACTAGATGAAGTTAGCCCGGCGGCATAGCCGTGGTGACCACTTTCCCTTTGCGGAACATCCTTTACAAAAACCCGAGCTCTCAGGTAGATTGACCAAATGGGCCGTCGAAATGAATGAGTTAGACATAGAATATAAACTAAGGACTGCCATTAAGTCACAAGTCTTGGCTGACTTTGTGGCCGATTTCAGTCCGAGATTACTGCCTCTGGCAACCAAAGAGGCAGTAATGGTGTCGGAATAGGCATCAGGGTTTTGGACCTTTTTATGGATGGACATTCCAACGTAAAAGGGTCTGGGCTTGGTATAGTCTTAATCACGCCTTCGGGAGGAAACCATAAAGCAAGCCATCAGAACGGTCCTTTTAACTAACAATGAAGTAGAGTATGAAGCTTTGATTGCAGGGCTCGAACTAGCCTGGGGGCTTGACTCTGAGGTCATTGAAATCAAATGCGACTCACAACTGGTGAAAAATCAGGTCTACAAAATATTCGAAACCAAAGAAGAGTGCACGCAACAATACATGGTAAAGGTCCAAGCTTTGTTGGCACAATTTCGGGAGTGGTCGAATACTCATATCCCAAGGGAAGATAATGCGGAAGCAGACGCATTGGCTAACCTTGGATCATTAACGGAAGTAAAAGGATCGGAGTCCGGGATGGTAGTACAATTGATGAACTCAGTCTTGGATACATATGGTTAAAATGAGGTTAATGCGACCAATTTGGTATGGGACTGGAGGAATGAAATCATCGATGATCTCGAGCACGAGAAGCTACACAGACCCAAAGTGTCCAGGGCGCTGCGCACCAAAGCGGCGAGATATAGCTTCAAGATAGGCCAATTGTATAGAAAAGCTTTCCAAGGCCCGTTGGCCCGATGTTTAGGGGTATTCGAAGCTAACTATGTCATGTGAGAAGTCCACAAAGGGATATGCAGCAACCATTCAGGCGCAGATTCCTTAGTGCTGAAGTTGGTAAGGCTAGGATATTATTGGCCCCGCATGGAACAAGATGCCAAAGACCTCGTACGAAAAAGTGATAAGTGCCAATACTGCGCACCACTGGTGCAGCAACCGGCATAACCATTACATTTGGGTATGTCCCCCGGGCCATTCATGAAATGGGGGATGGACATCGTTGGACCACTGCCACCGACTCCCGAAAAGGTAAGATTTCTTTTAATTTTGACTAACTATTTCTCTAAATGGGTGAAAGCAGGTCCTTATTAGAATATCGACGAGTGCGAAGCGGTGGATTTCTTGTGGGACAATATAATTTGCAGGTTTGGAATACCAAAAGAGATAGCATGTGATAATGGGCCACAATTTATCGGTGCAAAAGTCACAAAGTTCCTCGAAGATTTAAAAATAAAGAGGATTACATCTTTACCCTATCATCTGAGCAAAAACAGTCAGGCGGAGTCAGCGAACAAAGTGATTATAATAAACCTCAAGAAAAGGTTAGAAGCGTCTAAAGGTAATTGGGCCGAGGAATTACCTGAAATTTTATGGGCATACCAAACAACGGCCAAATCGAGCATAGGAGAAACTTATTTTTCCCTTGTGTATGTAAGCACGTGATTTTTGCCCTATATGAGAATTATCCCAAAAAATTCAAAATAAAATGATTTTTTCTTGGTGTGCAATTTTTTGAATTTTTGTGGTATTTTTGTGTAATTATTTGCATATTTGTTTGTGCACGTTTATTTGTTAAATTAATAAAAATACAAAAATATGTCGCATTTTGCATTAGGATTTAATTCTACAATTTTTAGTAATTAAGTTTGTTTTCCAAAAATTAAAAATTACAAAAATAGGCATCTTTTGCATTTTAGCATTTAATGTCCAATTGTACAATTTCATGCTTAATTATTACTTAATTGTGTGT